GTATCTCTAATTCCCCTGAGCAGGGAGACCAATCCTCTGAAGTCAGTTGCTGCTTCCTTTGCATTGTAACTGCTGGCTAATGACCAGTGTTTACTAACTTCCAGTGAGTCATCTACAAGTGTGATGCTTGGCTAAAAAAAATTGTTTCCAAGAACCCTATCATCGTTAATCATTAATTCCTGCATTGGGATTCTGCTGCTAGATATGATTGCCCACGGTCTGAACTGGGATGGTGACCCGGCATGTACCTCTGGCTGGACTAGGACAGCATGTGGGAGATCGAAGCTCTGGGTTGCCCCCGTTCACATCCCTGCCAAGTGAGCCAAGTCACTCAACAATGGCAGAATTTGGCGTCTTTCCCTGCCCCAAGGAGTCTGCAATTTGAAGAAGTGCTGCTTTATTCATACTGCTTGTATAGCTGTTCCCGTGTCAGTCGGTGAGATGAATTCCCATCTTACTTTTATTGGAATGTAAATGAAGTTTTGTCAGGACTTCACCTAACCTGCATGAGTAAAGCTTCATTTTGCAGAACACACCAGGTCACTGGGATGTGTTCAAGGCTCTGTTCTTCCATCTTTCACTCTAGAAGAATGCTGAAATTAGAGTTTGAGGGTTTGAATGGGGAGGAAAAGAGGAGTATGAGGGAGGCTGACAAATGCCAACACTAAGGTGGTGAGGCACATTGCCAGAGTAGAGACCAGTGCTGGACCTCTGGGTGGAAGAACCCGGTTTGACTGGGGCTGACAGGCAGTGTTGATAGCACCGTTGGCTATAGGGTGGGATTAAACTTATAGCTGCACAAATGTCTGAGAAAAAGTATTCCTTACACACCAGCTGCTGTGAGTACTTGCTAGTGGATTTATGTTGGATTTGAAGAAGCACTTAGTGTGTGAATAACAACCACCAGGTTCCTCAATAAAACTTTAAAAGTGGACAAATAAATTATGATGCGTTTATTGTGGGAAAGACAATTAGCGGGAATGAGCTGATGGATGGCTTGCTGCTTCATTTGAGAGCCCCAGAGACTGTTCTCAAGTCCCTCTTAACGCTTCCCACTTAGCTGTTAGACCAGAAGTAAAAAATTGTTAACGAATTAAAATGCACTTGGCCTCAGTGTATTTTCCCATACAGTTTCCATTTTATTTATTAAACAAAACCAGTAATACTATCGAGATTCATAATTTCAGGCTTTTAAAACCTTTTAACTCTGATATCAAGGGTGATAAAAAAACATCTTCCGGAGCAAGAGAAAGAGCAAACGAGTGATGGAAGTCTTTAGTTCCCATAAATTCAGTTCCTATAAAGTCTGGACACCCTGGGCGGATGCCTTGGCTCAAAAATGACCTCCTGGCTCCTCCTTTTCGTCTTGGTTTTTAATTGAAGCCAGGAGAAGGATCCCGGCATTTGCCAGGTGAATGCGAGCTGTACCCTGGCAGGACGCCTGCAGACCCATTACTGTTTTCTAGATTAAAATAAGGACAGCAGAAGGGGTGGAGGGGAGGTGGGGGGGAGGGAAAGAGAAGAGAGAAAGAGAATAGCAAAACACTTTGTTCTAATTCAGGTGAAAAAGTTAATCTCGATGTCTATACAGACCGTCTGCCACGTACAGGGTGGAGGAGGGAACAAGTTCTTTTTATATATGTGTTATATTCCCTAATTGTCCCTGTGTGCCAGCCTCTAGGAACAATTGAAAACCGCTGCCAAAGTCTGTGCCTGCTCAGACATCATCCTCATGGGGAAACTCTGGGAACGCTTTGCCTGCCACGTGCTCAGGCGACAGCTTCCAGCTCGGGCTCATCGGAGCAGCTGCTCGGACCCGAGTGTGGTCCTGTGGTCAGAGGGGAGGCCGCGGGGCCGGCGCAGCATCCCTGGGTTCTGTTCCTGATGTTGTGACTGAACCGTTGCAGCTTTGGCCCCAACACTTGATCTCCGGCTCAGCTTCCTGAGCCCTAAAATGGGGAGGATACTGATAAGAATATTTACTGAGTTACGAGGAGCTTATGAACTGAGTGCTTTCAGGTCCTGGGTTACAAACAGATGCTATAACTCTATTTTCTACTGTGTGGTCCACCCTAGTTTTGACTGAACCACTTTTTTTTTGTGGAGTTCTCAATCTAGTGGACTTTACAATGAAGACCAAATTTCCTCTTACATTAGGCAGTGAATTTCTGTTACTAAGTCTCTTGATTCTCAGGTTTACTTGGACATGATGGGGAAGACTGTTCAGTGTAATGGCAAAAGCAGTCCTACAAGTCTACCTGAAAGTCTGTAGCTGCTTATTTAATGTTACCGCACACACTGAATAGGTCCACTGGGCAATTTTCCATCAGAATAATTTTCTGATAGAAAATGGCTCTTTGCAAAATCAAAATTTGTCCTGGAGAATACTAGAGTTTTGCCAAAAAAATTCAATTCGCCAGTGGGAAAATCAAAATGACAGCTTCCTGGCTGCCCACCTTGAAGCTTCACAATAATTTTTTCGCCTCTCTATTGAAGACAAAAACTGGAATCAAATAAATCTTTAAAATTTCAAACAAAAAACACAGGGCTTGGAAATCCCTCCGCACAAATTAATTTATATTAGGTTTGTGGTTGCCGTTGTTCATTTTTTGTACCTGTGTGAATAATTTCCATCATTATTTTATAATGAAGGTGGGTTTTTTCTGGAAAGGGAATTGCATTTTCAGCCAGCTTTTGTTCTAAGGAATTGAAACTAATGGGGAGGACAAGATAAGAAACACAGAGAGTGGAGTAGGAGTTAGAGGATAATCTTGGCCTGGGAAAAATTAGTTTACCTATATGACAAAAATCATCTTTGAGCTAAGATGGAGCCATTTTCCCATGAAAATTAGTTGGTTTGTAATTGATTGAATGCAAAGGCAATTCCACTGAAAAGTAATCCTTGTACCTTTTTATGCTTTCTATTATTGAAGAGATCCCAATTTCAAGCTAAGAATTTTTAAACTGCTATGTTTGCCATTATCTGCTAAACAGTTACCTTGAATTCTGGCATGAATATCTGAGTTCAGAACCTCAGAAGAATTTGGGTGCCTAATAACCGCCAGGAAATACTAAACTAGAGTGCAGTTGTGTCTCTTGAAGTGTCTTAGACACTTAAAACCCCTGGGAGAGGGACTGTGCATATTATCCTTCTTTTGGTCCCATCATTATTTCAGTTATACGATCTCTTCCTAAAATACAGCGATTTTCACTTTGATGTCCATTATATTCTGTAATTTTATGAATGGCTATATCCACTATCTTATGAAAATTATGCCATCATAAAATCCATCAAAGTTGCCTGACAAACCGATTTATCTATATTCTGATATTTATGAAGCTTTTTGGAGAAACACTAACTCTCAGGGCTGCCTTGTGTTTATTTGACATTGTTTATGCTGGGTAAACTCCTTGGAGACAAGGAGCAAATTCCTCTGAGACCTTGTGGTCGGATCAATTTGTAGGGCTGTTTCCATGTTTTCTGATGCAATCGAGTGTAACAATGTTGTATCCCAGTAAACATGGAAATGGAGCAAGGAAAACATTTCTCAATCGACTTCCTAAAAATACTGCTCTGGGTGGGGAGGGGCTCAAGTTTTATTCCAGGAGCTCATTCAAGCCCTCATCAGTTTCCACAATGTCTCAGATTTTACTTAGTCTTGTATTTCATGTACTTATAGATTGGGAAGCAGAGTGCTACATGGGCCAGATGCCCATGAGCGTGACATGCAATAACCATTATACATTCAAATGTTCATATTCGTGGATGGAGAGCTGCCAAGCATGGCTGGAAGCAAATCCAATATTTGGCAAAGCGGGCAGATCATCAAGGGTGATCCTGGGAGGGGCTATCTTGAATTTGCCTTTTCTGACTTTGTATTTGAATATTCTAATGCTTTATTCTGTAGGAGGCAAAAAACCCCAAACAGGTGATGTCTTTACTGTGTTAGTTTAGTATTCTGTGAATTGTTTTGTGTGTGTTACTGCTTTGTTTTAATTGTCTTCCTTCCCCTTGCTGCCTGTTGACTAGTGTTGAGGTTTCAGATGGAACCTGATGGAAATACAACTTCTGAGTTTCTGGAGAGGAGGGAGGGAATAAGGTGCCAAATTTACCAGTGTCCAGTTGAGGAGCAGCAGTTGTATGAAGGTTGTAAAACTCAGTTGTGCTGTTCCTATGCCTGTGTCCACCGTACGAGTAAGACACCATATGTAAAGACTGTTTAGGACCCTATTTTTCAAAAAGTTATTTGTACAGTGACAATCGGAGAGGGAGACAGGCATGTGTATTCCCCGTTACTTACACCGTTATCACAAGAGCACAGTGCCCTTGTGGATTAGCCATTTGCACAGGGGCCTGGCCATCTTGTGGGCAAAATACCTGCTCTGAATGAGCATCTGTAAGAACAGTTTATGCACAGGAGGCCAACAAAGCATGGAGCAGTTGTGTGTGTGTGTGCATTCGTGCATGCTTTTTGCGCCCACAACTTCTAGAATTTGGGTCCTGAGTCATTGGTATGCCTTTATCATTCCTGTCCACTATCCAAATATGAAAAAACCCTAGTATTAAAATGCTCTCAAATGACTGTTTATAATCATTGGTGCTGTGTTCCTTTTACGTCTGTACTGAATTTTGTCTTTTGTGCATATACCCCATGTGGCTTCAGGAACTATTTTGTTCCAGAAACCGTTGCAGTGGGATGTGGTGAAGAATTGTCCATGCTAGTGGAACCTGGCTCGGTTAGATGGATAGCAGGGGTGCAGCCGCGTGAGGTGGAAGGTGTACAGAGCTGGGTCTGCAGCAGAGCTCTGCCTCAGCTTGCCCTTCAGCAGACACCTCACCATGGAAAAATGGATCCAGACCTCCCACCCTGGTCAGAGCTTAGTCCAAGGGCTCAGCCCACAGCACAGTGCTCTTGGCCTCATCAGATTTCAACACAGCATTTGCATCTGTTTTCTGATTCCGCTGCTTTTGTTCCTGTTTTCAGGACACTTGAAAGAGAGCGTCTCCCAATGGCCAAGATAAGGACCCACGTCCCGCATCCTGTGGCTGCACATTCTCAGCCACAAGAGTCACTGCAGCCCCTTTCCGGAGGGAGGCGATTCGGACAATGGCATCTCAGACTGATGCAGCTAATCCAGCTTTACCCAAGGTAATTATGTGAAGTGACATTCAAATCTGAGTGGTTTTTCTAGACACAGAGATTATTGCATTATGAAGAAAGTACACCAGCTACTTTCCTCCCCACATGTCTCTAGTGCAATCTAAAAATAGCCCCAAGCATTTGAAAATGTGCCTTAATCTTTTGACAGGGAAGTGGATGAGGTCACAAGACTGGGAAAGGACTTGTTTGCTGTCGGGAGGATGGTGAACTTGACATGTCGAAGAGAGACGAGTGCTCTATCTGTGGGCGAAGAAAGGTAGGGAACTGGGGTCCAGCATGCCCTTTTATTCAGTGTTTTTTGTATACATCGTTGGTACGTGTGAAATGCTGTGGATTAAAAACCCCTTTTGAGGTACAGAGGGCAGGATGTGATGGAATCAGCTGTTCTATTTTCAGTGTAGTAAGGTTGCAAAGAGCCAGTAAAGAATATGACAAAACAGTATATTCAAGCACAAAACAGTATATTCAAGCACAAAAGCCAACGTAGACACATCCAGAGTATAGCTCTGCTTTAATCCCTGTGACAGCTCACTGTCTGCATTGAGAAATTTGGGATTCCTCCTTCCACACAGCAAGCCTGAATGAAAGTTCATTCTCTTTGGTTTTGGAAAATGTGTTTTCTTTGTTGGCCTTTGATGATATCTCACTTGTTCCTGAAGAAACGCTAAGGGGATACATCTAGGGTAGTAAGTTTATGAGCACAGGGAAGTTACATGTTAAGAAGTCCAGCTTCTTGGAACAGGCTACATCTCGGCTGTAGGTTCTCATAATACTTAATGAAAAAGTGTTAAGTATCCTTCTACCACCTCAACAGAGATTGTGTGGGATAAGTATTCTCCGAATCCTCATTTCCTGCTCATACAAAATGGACCCAGACTATCACAGTCATTCATGAATGAAACACTTTTCTATAAATTTGCAGCCCAATAGGAGCAGTTCTATTAGAAGTCTAATATTTGCATAACTGGGTGCTAACAAAAATAAAGCTAACAAATTGCTAATAATTGCAAAATGTCAACTATATTGGGATATGTCAGAGGTGAAATATGAGGGTGAAGCCTCCAGGTGTGTTGAGGTCAAAAGCAACTTGTTATTGAGGGGAAACTTGTTAGGGGTAATAGCTATCAGAAAAAACTCAGCTGAATAATGTTAAAGCCAGCTAAACCTTAAGTAATATGTTGCTGCAGTACTGCAGGAGAGAGGGACGACTGCTTAGTCCTTTACATGTTACTTGTGAAGGTCTGAAAAGGGGCACTGAAGAGAGCTATGAACACTCTTGTTGTATAGCAAGTGTTACAAGACAACTGCACAGAAGGACATTACCCAGAAAATGTTATGAAACAGAACGGAGGTCCCAAAATCATTTTAGTGCCTGAACAAATTGAAAGTTGTTTCCCAGAAAAATCCACATGCACTCCAGATGGCTGGGAAGAGAAATCTCAGTTGGCTGCAGTAAGAAACTAAGGGTCAAAAGGGAATGAACTTGCACTGATACCTTGAGGTGATCCAAGGCCTATCGCATTTAGCTGCCTCCTTCCTACCAATATTGCAAAGTTCTCTGGTATTTTTAGGAAGACAAAAAATTATGGATAGCCTGAGGAAATGCAGCTCTTTTTAAAATGGCCTTGGGTTTTACTACCATACTGTATTGCTTCAAAATCCTCTCAAGAACTTCCTTATGTAAGTGAAAAACAGCCTCACAAATTGCCAGGGTGGTTTAAATCAACTGCAGTGCAATAAAAGGTATATGTGCTCCCTTAGTCAGGGGAGTTGGAAAAAGAGCTATCAATAACAGTATGTCAGATAAACACTGAGGGCAAAGAGAGGACTTTGCTGGGACATGACTTTTTTCATTCTCTCAGGGATTCTCTTTCTCTTCTGTCTTCAGTTGCTTTTATATCTTTAACCATACAGCAGCCAAGGCAGGAGAGGAACTGTCTGACAAAGGTTTCATTGACAAAAGTGTATGATTTTTGCTAGAAAGCACTTCCTTCTCTGCTGAAGGCTTTGAAGTGTCGTCTTTGTTCTTTCAGGCTTGTTATTTTTTTTTTTCTTTTAAAAAATGATAGACAAAATACTTGAAAGTCATCTTTTAGTACAGGCAGAATAACAGGAGCAGCTACAGAAACCTTTCATTTAAAAAGGTATCATCATGCTAAAATGATATATTTGAAATATCGTTTCTAATCCGTGTTAAGAAAACAATGCCTTAAATAATTTAAAACTGCTTGTTGAATTCTAAAAACCTGTATAATTTACTCTTCGAGTTGTGCTCTTCCTTCATTGACTATCTCAGTGCCCTGTCTCTGCTGACTGATCTTTGTGCCTCTTTCATGTGGCTTGGTTTTACTATCTGCAAAATGGATTAATGGAAATGAACTCCTTTGTGACTCTCATTGAATCAGCATCAAGAAGTGCCATTGTAAAGCAAAGGATTGTTGATGTAGTCTGCTTTTTAATACTTGAACAGTGTGGTAGACTTTGGTTTTCTAAAACCTGAAAACCTAAATTACTTCTTCTTTTGCTTGTTGGCACCAGGTGACCTCTTTCACATCCATACTGACCCATATCCTGCATCCTGATACCTAAAACTGAGCTGCTGGCATTGCAGGCGTGCAGCATCTCCCTGCAATTCGACGAATCCAACTGCTCTTGATCCCCTTGTGTGATTCTCCACTGCTGAGTAAATGGAAATTTCACCTCTGGTTTCATTGGTAGTAGGGTCAGATCTGTTTGAGACACTACAGGATCAGGTCCTGTGAAGTTACAGGTGAGGAGAAAGACGTGTGATAATACTGCCAGCAGTGAAGTTACTGTTCCTAATAATTTCAGTTCAGTCAGACCACAGAGATCAGCAAACCACCAGAGACAACTTCCTGTGGTTTGACACTATAATCCTGTAGTGAAACATGACTGTTAACCTCCTTTTTTTTTTTTTTTTTTTTTTTTTTTTTTTCCCTTTTTTTTTTTTTTTTTTTTTCTTTTTCTTCCCCTCTTGATTAACTCACTTTCCTAACGAAAGTTTTAAAGTCCCTGATCTCCAGGTTATTATTATCCACCAAAGCGGGCTTCCTCAGCATGGGCTGGGGAGTGAAAGTTTCTTGGCACATAAGGATGGATGATTACACCAGTGCAATTCCTTTTGGTGCTTCCAGACTTAGCATCCAGATGAAAAGCTATTTGCTACACTTAACAGTGCGTGTGTCCAGAGCACGGCAAAGCTCCATGCTAGGGTTGATAATGGGGCTTTTTATTCTCTCACCCTACAAAGCAGTAGCTCTCCGCGTGTGCTTCTGCAGGAGTGCTTGGCTGTGTGTTTTACTCTTTGCTCTAACTTGGCAGTCGAGGGAAAACTGGACAGAAGCTTAGAGCTGAGTAGAGTAGCAGCAGGACAGACTGCTCTTAAGCCCACTCAAACCCGTGAGTTTAGAGATGAAGTGACAAAAAAACCCAAGAGCCAGATAATGCCATGAGTATATTGGTCCATGGGCAGTGCTCTCTGTATCAGTTATTTCATATCACCACAGTTTGCAGGGCTCATGCTACCCACAAGTCTGCTCATACAACCTCTTCTCCATCAGGCTTATTATTTTTTCTGGCACACAAACCAGAAGCAGGCTGGGTTCTGGGTGCTGCCCCCCAGCTGGTTTTCCCAGGATCCCTGCCAGGATCACGTACTGCACATCTGCATGATGCCCAGCGCGTGGCCAAACTCCTGCCCCAGGAAGAGCAGCCTCACTGCCGATGAGATGAGCTGCACCGGCCCTTCCCCGGTAACCCGGAGTGGCCTGAGGTTTCTTTCTCTTACCCTCCAGAAACGGGTACAAGCACATCGTGCTCTGCCGGCGCTCCACGGCCGCTCAGTGTGAGCCAGCATTGCTGCACAAGCACAGGACTGTTCCTGAGCTGATAAACCCTTTAAAGTGATGAGGTAGCTTAACTCAGGGAAATTGTCACAATAACACCATAAACTGCCCTTGTGTAAATACCTTAAAATCCAGACAAGATTTCTGCCTCTTCAGCCATCCACCTGCACAGACGCCTTGCTCCCATCTCCCTGAGCTTAACAACTGAGCTGGGTGAAATTTTATCAACTGTGAGTTTTCAACAAAATGTTTGCCCAGAATTTCCTAAATATTTTATAAAAATAAAAAAAGGAGTATTTTTAGTGGTGGCTGTTAACTGTTGGGAAGTCCATTTCATTTCTGCTGAGCTGAATTTTCCTTCGCTTTCATAATTAGGATGGTTTAGAGGTCAGTCTTTATGATCTGTAAGTTACTGGGATTTACAGGAGAAAAAAAATTATTTGCTCCCTGTCCCTCCTGCTGCTCCTCCCACTCCTACAGGACTGCAGTAGCAGCGTCTTAGAGGAAATAAACCCCAATAAACCAGCCTAAACATTGTTTTTTTTCAAATCCCCATTCTTAGCATAAGCAATGCTCAGCTGGAAGCCTAGTAAAACCTTTGAACTGGTAATTTGCACCCATTCTTTTAAAGACTTTTCCCATTTTAAATATTAGTATAAAAAGGGGATTTGAGGAATCAGTATCGCCAAAGCAAACATTTGACACACTGTTATATTAGACGTATATAATATAAAGCTTAGGCACACGGACCCACGCTGCTGCTGCTGCTGTTCTGCGAATCGGTGCATGTGTCTGCAATAAGGACAGAAGTGCTGGGGGAAAAAAAAAAAAATAAATCTGTTTCTCTGTTTGTCTATGCGTGCATGTGCACGCTGTTTTTAAATAGGAGGAGGATTGCACCACATTGGTATGGCAGGAAACTGTAAAAAGAAAATCCTCCTATTTAAGGCTCTGAAGGATATTAACTAATTTCTGTCTTTCATCATGAAAACAGTAACACTGACACACTTTGCTGTGCCACAGCCACTTGTATTTGGATGTTGTTGTGGAAACTAACTGGGCTGAAATGTCACTCTGGGTTCTGTTTCTGAAAGGATACAGCGTGATGCTGGATTTCAGACCCAGATCTTCTAAGCCTGTGTTTAACTTTATGGACCAGAGAATATAAAGCTAAATCCCCATGTGTTTCTAGGACTCAGCTCCTGGATCTTGGAAGCAGAGAGGTGGATGTAAAAATTCTCATAGTAATAAACAAGTAGTTTTGTGTGCAGAGGGTTTAATGAAAGCCACTTTTCAACATCTCTCCATCTCTTTTCCTCCCTTTAATGTGTTTTCTGTTGCCTTGGAGGCAGGGGAGGTTCCTCTTAGCATTTGGGAGCCGTCTCCCCTA